GGCAATAATGACAATCATATGTCTAAATCTAAATCATATATTAATGTTAATATAGGGGTTCGGTTACACTGTTTTTCAAACAAAGTCCACTCAAGATTGTGAGAGGAAAGGGACAGTATATGTACGACGAAGAGGGCAACGAATACTTGGACTGTATCAACAATGTGGCACATGTGGGCCATTGCCACCCGCATGTCGTCAAAGCGGGTGCCGATCAGATGTCACTCATATCGACCAATAGTCGCTTCCTTCACGACAATCTCGTTTTGTATGCCAAACGATTGACCGCTTATTTCCCGAAAGAGCTCTCTGTTTGTTATTTCGTTAATTCCGGGTATAGTCTGAAGAGAAACACAAATAAACAAATTATTTCATAAATAAATATAATCTTTGTTTTGACAACAGATCGGAAGCAAACGATTTGGCCATTCGTTTGGCGAGAGCTCACACTAACCATAAAGATATAATCTCACTCGACGGGTATGTCTGTAAAGGGTGTCCCAATGAATTTGAACTATTTGTACCATATAATAGCTTTTATTCTTTAAGCAATTTATTTGTGATAATAAATATTTTTCTTTTTACTAAGTAATAGAAATATAATGGGACTAATTCAAGATTAATTTGATATAATTAAAATTTTATTTAACTAACGTTTGCCTAATCAAGAACAATTTTACTAAAAATTTGCACATTTAATCTTTGTGGATTTTGAGATCTAATTTTAATATTGTCATTGAAACAGGGAAAACCATAAGTGAAATTATATAATTAGTACCTAAATATAAAGTGTAGTTTATACTTGTTTAAAAATGGCCGAGTTTATTAAAATTGGACTATAGATTCTTAATCTGCACGTGTTTGTATTAGACTACTCATGCAATGCTTTCCTATGGAAATACACAATAGTTCAAATTCATTGGGACACCCTTTAGATGTCTAGACATTATAGAGTGGTAACTAATAAGTTGTTATTGTAGTGCATATCACGGACATCTCACCACAATTGTTGACATATCGTCGTATAAATTTACAAAGATTAAGGGCTCCAAACAGAAACCATGGGTTCATATTGTAAGTACACATAGTCTAATCAAGAATATTCTGTGTTTAACGCAATGCTATATATACTGATGTAATTGCATGTGCCTACAGGTGCCGTTACCCTGTTCGTATAGAGGCAAATACACGACAGACAAACACCCGGAGACCCACATCGGAGCCCTCTATGCTAAAGAGGTGCAGAATCTTATAAACAATGCCCACAATTCTGGCCGAAATATCGCCGCCTTTATCGCCGAATCAATGATCAGTTGCGGCGGACAAGTAGTACTGCCCCACCATTTCCTCAAGACTGCAT